AGGCAGTATCACTACGGAAGTAGGATTGCCCAACCTTCCTTCCGAGGAGTGGCTAGTGGGTTTGAACCGCCAGCCGTCTGGTTAGCAGGCAAGTGTCTTAGCCACTATGTTACTGACCTAGATGTCTAAAAAACTTTTCAAGCTATAAAATTTCCTGTAAGCAGTTTTAGCTGCATCCCTCATTTTGACATACAGCATTTTTATTATTGTTCAAATTACATTTCCTTCATGTTTTCTTCTTGGGCCCAGGAGGTTTTCTCCCCGCAAAGATATAGGGCTTTTCAAGTTATCTTTGAAGTTAATTGCACTATGGTTCCAGTGTGGTCTGCATGGTAACAATCCTGTGAAATTCATTGCCCAGTATGTAGTCAGTTTTTGTAAAAGTTTCACGTGTGCTGGAAAAGAATGTGCAGCTGTCAGATGCCATGTTCTACTGAGGTTGTTAAGAGGCTATCAAGTTGACCCTTGACACTTGGCCCCCTCAAGCAGAGCAGAATGAAACACTGCCCAGTGTTAGACCTTCCCTGTGACTGCTTGTGGCTTGGACTGCTGTGATCCAGAGGGTTTTATTTGGCTTATTATTAGAAATAGGTTGCCAGGCCTTTCCTCCTGGTTCATCTTAGTCTGGAAGCCCCACTGAAACCTGCTTGGCATCAAAACAACACACAAGCAACACACCTCCCCCAGATGGAGGTGGCTGTGCCAAGAATGAAACCTGCATTTCCTGCAAGGAAGATGAAAACCACCACTTGCCTCTAGTGTTCTGTGTGTCCATTACACTGAACTTACTGAAAGATAGAATGTATTTGTTGTTGTCATAGAGTCACCTTTGACTCATGATGACCTTGTGTGCAGAAGAGAGCTGCTCTACAGGGTTTTCAAAGCTGTGACATTCTGGAAGCAGATTTCCAGGCACGTCTTCTGAGTCACCTCTCGGTGGGTTTGAACCACTAACCTTTGAGCACTTAACCATTTGTGCCACCCAAGGACTTCTAAATATTTTATAGAGTCCCCTGATTTTGAGTTCCTTATCAGTGACTGAGAAGTATGTCAAAATCTCTCATGTTGGATTACAGGTATATATTACTTAATTCTTATATCCATGGTCCTTTTTTTTTTTTTTTAAAAAAAAAAAAAGCATTTCTTTTATTACCTCTCCCTAATGGTTTTAAAGATCCCAAACCCAGACTCTTGCAGCACTGGACCACAGGTGGGGTACAAGCAGTTAAGGCGGAGGACATGGCTCTAGGCATGTGCTCTTAGGCTTTGTCTGGCCGGCAGGCAGGCAGGCAGGCAGGCAGGCAGCGGGGGCTGCAGGGCTGGGCCGCTCTTGTGGGCAGAACAGCAGGTAGGACTGAGCACGATCTGCTCCCTCCTTGCTTCAATCCTGCCACCACCCTCTCAGCTGCACGGCTTGTTGCTCCAGCCTTTGCCAGCAGCTGTAGCAGCAACAGCAGCAGCAGCAACAGCAGCAGCAGCAGCAACAGACATGATCTGAAGTGGGCTCCTGTAAGGTTTTAATATGGTGTTTATGTAATGTCCAAATCACCTAACCTCCTGTTTCACAGAACACATTGTGGACATTAAGCAGTGCATACCTGTACTTATTTTTCCATTTAGTTGTCAATTTTTGCTTTATGTATTTTAAGGCTATGTTACTAGGTGCATAGTAATTGAGAATCTTTGTATTTTTCTGGAGAATTAAACATATCATTTTATGTGACTATCTCTAGTAAAGGAGCTCTGGTGGTATAGCACCGAAGGGATGTGACTGCTAACCAGAAGGTTGGTGGTTCAAACCCACCAGCCACTATGTGGAAGGAAGACTGGGAAATCTACTTCCATGAAGTTTTACCACCTTGGAAACCCGGCGGGGATAGCTATGAGTTGGAATCAACTTGATGGCAGTGAGTTTGGTATCTCTATAATTTTTTTAAGCCACTGGGAGGCCATTCACATCAAATTTCATGTGAATGGCAGAACTGTGAATGATGGCAGAACTGTAACGGCCCACTCAGGTATCAGCTACCAGAGTCAAGTTAATCAATATACTCAACCTTCCTCCTGAATGACACAAAGACCTTGGGATATGTTAATTCCAATTACTCCCTAATTATCTGCTATTTTCATGTATTTTAAATTCTATAAGACTTTTCTACATTCATTTTTATTTAGATGATCTAAATGTTTATCACTTTCTTTGCCATGCTCTTTTTTGTATTTCAAACCTTCTACATTGGGGACCCTTTTGCACATACAGTACTGAGTTGTCAGTGAAGGCTAACATGGGTATATGGATGGATAGATGGGTAGACAGGCTAAACGATTAAGTATGTCTATGAAATGGGGAGTGTGTCCAAGAACATATATAGTATTGGCAGACATTGGTCCTATAAGTTTATATGAATGATCAGAATTCCCAGGTGTATAGTAGAGCTGACAAGGGGCAAGGTTGTGGTCATTGCTTGGTCACAGCCAGCTACCCAGAGGGACCAAGTAGTTGAACCTGCAGGCTTGGGACCATAGTCGCAAGAGACATCAAGCTCAATTGGCATAACATACTATACAAAACATTGTTCCACCTCCTACTTTGGCGAGTAGCGACTGGGATCTTAAAAGCTAGCAAGCTGCCATCTAGATGCAACGATGGGTCTCTCCTCATCCAGAGCAAAGAAGAATGAAGAAAACCAAAATCCATGGAAACAATTAGTCCTAGCAACTGGTACACCATCTGATCTGCAGCCTATACAACTATGAGACCAGAAGAACTAGATGGTGCCCGGCTACCACTGTCATCCACTTGGAAGGGGATCTATGTAGGAGATCCTTGATAGAGAGGGAGAACAATGTGGAACAAAACTCAAAATCATTTGGAGAAAAAAAAAAAAAAAGGGGGGGACCAGGTTTGCTGATCTAATGGAGCCTGGTGAAACCACTGAGACTATGGCCCCTAGCTGCCCTTCAGGTCTGGAATTGAACCCACACCTGTGGTTTCCAGCCAAACAAAATACAGGCATATGAGTTGAACATTTACCTCAAGTAGATACACTCCTTGGAAAGAACAATCATGGGAGAAAGAAGGGCTGCTTATGCACAGAGAGACAGCTCAGGGGGCAGGAGTGTATGGAGGGATGGACACTGGGAAGAGGTAACTATGGGGAGGAAGTGGGAGGGGAGCTGTTGCATTGTGGTAAACTGTGGTCAATGACATGAGACAAAGTATATGTGAACTGCTGTATGGAAAGTGAATTTGCTCTGTAAATGTTCACCCAAATCACAATTTATGTATATAAAAAAAAACCTTCTATATTGGATCACTTTCTGTTGGGGGCAAATTCAGTTTTTGATTGAAAATGTCATTTCACTCTATTCTTGAAAGACAGTTAATCATTGAGTATAGAATTCTAGGTTCCCAGTTAATTTCTCAATAGCACATTGTCTTCTGGCTTACATTGCTGCTGATGAGAAGTCAGCTGTCAATCTAATTGTCTTTATTTTGGAGGTAATCTGTCCTCTTCCTGGATGCTATTAAAATATGTTCTGTAGTTTCACCATGTGTCTAGAAATGGGTGAATTTATTCTGCTTGAAACAGAATCACTAGACTACTGTAAACAATTGGTTAAAGATTGTGCCTTGTTATCTTGAAAGTGCTGCGTTACACAATGTCCCCTGCTAGGCATAGATTCTTGGAGAGGCGTAAGGCTGGTCTCAGGCACTGATGGAAATGTTGACCATGGTACTCTGCTTATTTGCTTTTGTGAAAGGAAGGCTCTATCTCAGTAAAATACATGCTCTCCAGCCCAATCTAAGGCTGGACTTAACAGAGCCTCCCTTTCCCATCCTACAGGTACCCTGGAACGCCGGGTTTCCAAGGTGGAAGAACGGTTAAGTGCAAGGGCACACGTCCTCTTAAATACGGTGCTTGGAAGCCCTCTGCAGAAGGCAGTGAGATGAGCACAGGCTGGAGAGGATCACGTATCCACAGAGAAGCCGCAGCAGAGAAGCCCTGGGCCACTGCTTGCTGGTTTTTCACTTTGAAGAACAAGAGTCAGTACCTAGTTGTTTTCCTTTGTAGCTACGACACACTTTTTAGGCAAATCAAGTAAGCCAACTTAGTCTCATTTAGCAAAGTATTTTATTCAAAAGCTTCTCAGCACCATCTAGATGTCAGAAAGAAACGGATATCACCTATTCCTGCCCACCCCCCCCACCCCCCCCAGAGGCAGAAGTTAAACCATTTGGCTAGACCTCCCCCTTATGTTTATAATTCAGATCATGAAAAGATTTTTGGTTGTTCTCTCATCCAACTTTCTCTAAGCCTTAAACTTGACTCAAGAAGAGCTGTGCTCCCTCGTGGTTCAGGACAATAGGAAGGAATCATGTCAGACTTGATCAACCTCCCACTCTTGGGCTTAAATAAACAAACAAACAAACAGAAAACAAACTCATTACTGTCAAGCTACTCGACAAACAGAGGCACACAGAATTGCCTTGGAAAAAAATTCAATTCCGTGACTGCCACGTGTAGGAAGGACAGTGATGCTGTCAGGCAGCATGCAGTTTGGAGAGTTCAAATTGTAGGGGGACACCCCTCCCTGACTTCACTCTGGGAACGAGGAGAAGCAGGTCCATTTTCTTTCCATAAACCGCCACTGCTCATCTTTTCCTGTCTTATTAAAAATGAGACTTAACCAAACCTTTTTGACATGTGATTAAAATGCTAAGAGATCCTGAGCTGTTGGATGGAGATGAGGAGAGTAGATAGTATGATCTGATCTTTCCTGTTTTTCTTTTCTTTTCTTTTTTTCCCCTTTAAGATTATTTTGTTTCAGCATAAAGCACATTTCCCCGAAGAGGTTCCTGGAGGAGATTGGAAAACCAAGAGTCTGACCGTGTTCTTAAGAACATACAGTCACCTGTGTAACTTTGGCTTCAGTCATTTCATAGCTACTTCAGGTCCCACGGGAGGAGGAAAGAAATGGAGGCAGTTATCACTCGGCCAAAGCTCCCATGGGGTCCCAGGCTGGCAGGACAATGGGTTCCTGCTCTAACACAGCTAGCACCTCTTCAGGGATATGCTTCTTGTCCACCACCACCTCGTAGACATACTCAGAGAACCATTCATCTGTCATGCACAGGTAACCTGGGGAAAGAACACGAGGCTCATGAGTCCAGAGGGCAAGGCACAAAGAGCAGAAGCCTTATTTGCACTATAAAGAAGCCGTCTATAAAACTAATATTTGTACATGTTTTTCAGCTTTCCCATCTGTCATCTCACTTAATCTAGGTTTTATTAGCAAGTCAGGGGAGCAGACAGGACAGATATGGCTACACACACACACACACACACCAATTAGAAGGCACGGGCCCACAATAAGTGGTGTGCCTTGGCATACAGGCGAGGTTCAGAGCTGGGCTGGTTTCAGATCCTGTGCTGCTCCATTGCCCAGACTACCTCACAGAAGGTGAATGAATAACCTATATACACTAGAATGAAAAACCTAAATACTAGAAGGCAGGTGGAAAATGTTTCTTCGTACAGCCACACCAGGGGATCAGTCCTTAGGACTGGAAGAGCCAGCACACCAGCCCCATACTTACCCCACCCACCCTCTCAAGCATCACTGTGTCTCTCCTTCCTACCATAAGTTACCAGAACCACCAGCTACCAGATGATACTGTGTGAAGTGAAGGATCACACAATGCTCGCTCTCCTAGGAGGAAATTGGAATAAGCATCAGGAGGACTCACAGAGTGAGACAGCTGCTGGACCTGCCTATCTCAGGAAGGCCCTGGGATCTGCCACTCTCCAGCAGGCAGGGCTGCCCAGAGACAAAACTGAACTAATCCAAACATCCCAGACTGGGAGCTTGGCTATGAGAAAAAGCGTGGTGTCACCAAATGCTCATCCTAGGAACCTACTTCTTCTCATTTGGAAGACTAACCTGGATCTCAGGCTGTACGATGACAGCACAAATACTCCTTCAGAAAAACACTTGTAACAAACTGAGACAGAAAGGAAAGTGTATACCAAAACCATTGCTAATGTCAAAAGCAAAATTAAAGTGAGGGATTATGGTGTGTCTATCTAAAACAAGAATGGGTTACTGGCCCAGGAAGAGTGCACAGAGAACAAAAGTGTGTACCTGGCACCTGCTAATATTAGGCATTTTAGATTTTTATTGCATTTAATTCTTCCAAGAATTTTTGGACATAGTAATGTATTAGCATTCTCAAGCCATAGGCCAGAAAGTTCCACAGCCATTTTTCTCTCAAAGTGTTTGTGTGAATCTAGGACTACGCTATATGATCAGGACCAAGATAAAGGGAGATGTAGTTGTTTCTCCCAAGGGACTCCTCTAGTGCGGTGGTTCTCAAACTTTTTGGCCTCAGAACCCCCCTTTATACTTTTAAAATGATTGGGAACCACATCTCAAAAGCTTGCAAGTGGCCATCTAAGATGCAACAACTGATCTCTCACAGTCCGGAGCAAAGAAGAATGAAGAAAACCAAAGACACATGAAAACAATTAGTCCAAGGGACTAGCGGACCATGCGAACCTCAGCCTACATGATCCTGAGACCAGAAGGACTAGATGGTGCCTGGCTACCATTGTCAACCACTTGGAAAGGGATCAGTGAAGGAGATCCTAGATCAAGTGGGAGAAAAATGTGGAACAAAACTCAAAATCATAAAAAAAGACGAGGCTTTCTGGTCTGATAGAGACTGGTGAAACCCCCAAGACCATGGCCCCTTGTCACCATTCAGGCCTGGATTTGAACTCACTCCCATGGCTTCCAGCCAAATGACAGACAAGTATGTAAGGTGAACATTTACATCAGGAAGGTACACACCTTAGAATGATCAACTCTGGGAGATCAGAGGGCAGTAAATGCACAGAGAGATAGCTCAGGGGGCAAGAATGCATAAGAAAGAAGGACGCAGGGAAAAGATAACCACAGGGAGAAAGAGGGAGGAGAGCTGTTACATTATGGGGATTGCAGTCAATGTCATGAAGCAAAATGTACTATGAATCTTTGTACGCAAAGTGAATTTGCTCTGTAAACTTTCACCCAAATCACAGTTTGAAAAACAAAAATTACTAAGGACCCCAAAAAGCTACACTTTTAAAAATTACTGAGGACCTCAGAAAGTTGTCTGTGTGGATTATGTTTTGATAGTTACCATATCAGAAATTAAAACAGCAATTAAGTATTTAGTGATAGGAATAATAATAGTAAAATGAATATAAATAACATATTCCATGGGAAAAAGAACTGTTTTCCAAAATAAACAAAAAAATTTTAGTTAGAAAAATGGCATTGTCTCACATTTTAATGTTTGCCTTCATACACGACAAATGAAAATTTGTATATGCTTCTTTGTTCAATCTGTTGCAATACATTGCTCTGGGTAAAGTAGATAAAGAAAACGGCAGCCTCACACAGACATACTATTTATTGGAAAAGGAAAGATTTTGCAGACCCCATAAAAGGACCCCAGGACCTATAGAGGAGCTCTGGTAGCATAGTGGCTAAAGCACTTGACTGCTAACTAGAAGGCTGGCGGTTCATACCCACCAGCCACTCCTCGGAAGGAAGGTTGGGCAATCCTACTTCCGTAGTGATACTGCCTCGGAAACCCAAGGAGGGGTCGCTATGAGTCGGGGCCGACTCGACGGCACATAACAACAACAACAACATAGGGGTCCTCAGGCTACACTTTGAAAACTACTAAAGGTAAGACTGCTTATTTAAATGATTAAAAGACAATATGGTGGTAGTCTAATTTTGCAAGCTAAATGATGTGGCAGAGGGCATTATTCAACCTGAAAACACAATTGATTGCTTTGGTGAGCTCATCCATGCCCAATTCTGCTTCCCACCTCTAAGAGGAGTCAGAGATATCCTGATGTAGTCAGCGTGCTCACCCTCCAAGAAAGTGCCCTGGAAAAGTACACAAAGCAAGCCGGATAGGACTGTACCCCTCTCCCCCGCTTACGAGGCCCCGATCCAGAGCTCCTCTTCTCCATAGGAGATACAGGGAGACAGGTTGTCTCTGCCGTCTCTGGATTCTGTCTTACCATCCTTGGCTCTGCCTGTGCTGGTCAGTCAGAACATGGGCCTTACCATCACCTGACATTAGTGCCACTAAGTTTTAGCAACCAAAGCTTTGCAGCTTAAGGGCCAACCAGTACCACTTCTTGCTGGATCCTAAGTACTTCTTGAGAAACTGTTTTCCCAAAAAGGAGCTTTCTGCAAATAACAGACCAGACTGCTAAACATCATACCATTTGAGACATTAGTCATCCTTCTGACCATAATTCGGGCTGAATAAATCTTTAGAGTAGCTCTGGGCAGCGAGGCAGGTGAAGGATAGAGGCAGATTTATGTAATAAATTTCTGTGTCCTTATAACAATACTATCATCACACAATCAAATGAATCTTCAGAGTATGCCCAGAGAAAATGGACAATAAGTACATCTACACTATCTTGTTCCAAAAGCAAAAGATCAGATTAAGTCTTCACAAATTAAAACTCCTATCAATTGTAATCCACCCTTTCAAAGTCCTTGCCAAGAGGACCTGCTTTGATTAGTCTCTCTCTTCAGGATATGAGTTCTTTGGGGCCCACAGAAACCTCACGTCTAGGTGGCGGCCAAGTTAATTGTACTCTGAGTAGATAATGAACTTGTGGCTGCTGCAACTGTTGACACTGTGTCTTGGGATTTGACTGAGAAGATTGGGATCAGTGTGTCTGAGACCGAGGGAGTGCTGGGTAAGAGAGCAGCACAACAGCCACTCAGGCAGGATTAAGGTGGCCATTTTGATTTGAGCAAAGTTGCAGCTCTTGGTTCTTAAGTACTACAGCCAATAGAAACAGGCACTGCTCAAGAAAAAAGGAAAAGAAAACTAAAGACTATTCAAGGGATCCAAAGGTTTTATTTAGGAAAAGAAACAGATAAGTGGATAAAGAAGGTCAGCTTTAGGAACTAAGGTGAAATTAAATTTGGATTAAACTTTAATGTCTTATTTACACGCAAAGAGAAAGAAAAAAAATGAATGAACTGTTCCTTAATCAAGCTGGCAGTGCTGCTGTATTTCGTAAGAGAAAGAGTAGTATTAGAATCTGTACAGGGAAAAACAAGGTAGAAATAATTCTATACTGGTTAGGCCAAATTCACTCAAACAGAAGAGCTTTGAATATTCCATCTCACTGACAAGCTATTTGTCGTTATTCTTTTGCTATTTTAAAAAGGTATGACAAAATGAAGGTGTAATAAAGCTGATGGGTTCTACTGGCAGCATGGTCCTTAGGAAGCCAGACGACAGAAGCCTCATGAGGTCACTGCTCATCTCTCACCAAGGGCAATGTCGCAAAGTGGAAGAAAGGTTCCCAGAAAGGAAGTCAAAACCTCCCTGGCACTCCTCTCCTATTTCAAACTTCCTAATAGTGAGAAACCACCTAACAGAGTATGAATCAGTCAGTTAAAATGAAATTACCAATACAATGTAGCAATGTGGAAAAATTTTTAAGTATACAAAGATGGTACATACCCTACGTTAGAAATACAGGTATTTGTGCAAAAAATGAAAAGACATGAACAAAAATGATAAGTTTATGTCACGGGGCAGATGATTTTTTCCCCAAAAATATTTCTGAGAAGTTACATTGTTTTTTGACTTCTCAAAAATTGCCCAAATGATACCTCAAGTAGATACACTCCTTGGAGAGAACAATCATGGGAGAAAGAAGGGCTGCTTATGCACAGGGAAATAGCTCAGAGGGCAGGAGAGTATGGAGGGATGGACACTGGGAAGAGGTAACTATGGGGAGGAAGTAGGAGGGGAGCTGCTGCATTGTGGTAAACTGTGGTCAATGACATGAGACAAAGTACATGTGAACTGCTGTATGGAAAGTGAATTTGCTCTGTAAATCTTCACCCAAATCACAATAAAAAAAAAAAAAATGCCCAAATGATTCATGCTCATGCAGAAAATTTTGGAAACATGGAAAAGAAAAGAGGAAAAAAACAAAAAATTTAAAAACTGGCTGCAACCCTATCATTTTGGGATAAGCCTTGCTCAGATTTTTGGTCATGTTATCAGAAGGGACTGGTCTCTGAAGGATAACATGCTTGG